ATATATATATATATATTACAAGAAACTAACCGTTATAGGGAAAAAAATATGAAAATTTTGGCAAATTCATCAAAGATTTGGTTGTCTAAGATTTAACATGTGGAATTTTCAAAGAAGCTGTAAAAGTTTGAATTGAATCCAATTATATATTTCCACAGATATTAAAAGTTGCTGTCCAAATAATCTAGTATATATCAAGTCCTACCGTATATAACAATAATAATAATAATAATAATATTAAATAAAATTACTACACCTTATTATATAATCCGTTAACTTGATTTTAAAATTTAGTTGGGATGTATTTACATATTTTTTCGGTTCTATGTGGTTTTGAATAATGCAAATGTCTACTTCCTGATATGAGAATTGGAAAGAATTTTTTTTTAGAGATTAGCATAAAACTGTAATAAAAGGGAAATGGGTAATAAATGTTTGAAAAATGTAAAAGATACTGTTAAGTCAAATATTTTAGAAATTCAGAATTAGGTTTATTGATAATTAATTAATCTTTTTCATTGTGTTTCTTACATTTTGTATGTATAAATATCCTTTTAGTGTATATGCTAATCTTACATATAAGAATATACCGAACTTTGTACGCAGCGTTGTTTCTACATGTTCATGCGACAGGCAGAATAATTAATTAATAAATCTACAGTTATATTTCTAATATAGTCCAAACAAAATTTCTATGTGAGTCCATACGTACAATTTCCACCCAATTATTTTCCATAATTTAATGCGTATAAAAATATTTAAATTTAAAAGTAAAACTCTACTTAAAAAAATGGAAAACAAAGAATATAAACTTTTAAAATGGACAAATAGATATATTTCAAGATATGAATTTCAATTTCCAACCAAGTAACATAATTTTTTCATAAACCTAGATCTTAAGCTATTTTCTCTAATTTTTTAATTCAAAATAAAATATATTTTTTTAAAGAAAAAAACAAAGTTTTGAAGTTAGGTCCATGACTTCCTTGTGGGAACACCCATCATGGGGAAACTAATGTGGTCAAAACTCTTAACAGTATAACATATGACTTCAAACTCTTCAACAAGACAAAACTATGAATCATGAATACAAAAAAAAAATATTTAGATAATGTTTCTGCCAAAATGATTTTTTTTTTTCATATGATATCAAAGAATATCATTTGAAGTGAAATGTGGACAAACATTTTGATTCCAACATCAATGAAAAATCACAAATTAAGTTGTGTCTCTATGTACCCATTTGGAGCCTGCATTGATAATGCCAATGAGACACTCAATATAAAACAACATAACAGATAAGATGCTGTCTCTGCGCTTGAATGAATGATTGTTTTTTTTTCTCTCTCTCACTATTCTTATTTAAAAAAAAAAGGGTACTTAGATCTGATAAGCACAATAGAGCACCAACCTTTGATCCATTCATATAAAAAATATTCTGATTATCACAGCTTCATCACCATGATGGCATCCTCCCAAATGCCCACCATGCAAGGTAATGTCTGAACAAAAAAATGGTACAGAACCCATCTCTAAAAAATATGCTAAACCCTAGTAACAGTATGCTATCACAACCAGACAGAGATTAAAGACAGGAAAAGATGGATTGAGGAGAAACCATCTTTGCTTGGACATCCCAGTTAGGCTGGAATATGAAGAAGAATAGTTTAACCTTCAGGCATCAACAACAACAAAAAACTTCAGATATTTCAGAATGGCAGTGAGAAAAACCAATAATCATGATGATGATGATGACCACTTGACATGTAATTTGATAAGAGATAACATAAACTATGAAGCAAAACAGGAGAAGAGCAAAGGAGGAGAAGCCAAAATCAAGAGCAGATGATATTCTTTTCTTCCCTTTCACTCTTCCGAAGAAACCAATATAGAAGCCCTTGCCTTGAATGAGAACCAGACATCAAGAATTTGTAGGGAGAAACAAGAGAGGAGACAGAAGAAGAAGAAGGTGGTGATGATGATGATGATGGAGAGAGAAGAAGAAGAACAAGGAGAAGGAGAAGAGATCAAAGATCACTATGAACAGAAGCAAGATCTCAGAGGTGGCAACCGAAGCAGTTGCAGGTTTTAGGGGTGAAGGAGCAGTAACCAAAGGGCCTGTTCGGGATGTTGCAATTGATTGCAAAACAACAAGGTGAAGCCAGACAGATTCCCTTAGAACCTCCACAGCATGTACACACTGAACATAACTGGAAACTCCCAAGCTTCCTTCTTGTCTCATTCACCAACACAAACCTCTCCTCCATCAATGGCACCATCTCTCCCTCTTCAGTTGATGACCCGTTACCCTTTTGTTTCCATTAAAAGAAATTGCATTTAGAGACCAAAAAAGACAAAAAAAAAACCGGGTGAAAAATGGAATCTTCCACAATGGAAACACTGAACACTCAAGACTGGAGCGTAACCCAAAGGGCTCTCTCTTCGAATGCAAAAAGGAGGAAACTTTATAATCGGATTACTGTATTACGCCTTTTATCTAACGAAATTAGAATGCCCAGATGAAAATAAGAAAGAATCTACGGGAAAAAAAGCAAAGGGATCTGAGCAAATAAGCCAAATTGAGCATAACAGGCGAAGGAAATGATAAGAGGGATGAAACAAATTACCTGGATTTCAGAATTCGCTCGACCGAAACCGATGAAACTTGAGAAGACAAGCAGAAAAATGATTGAGAGTCTGTATTCTTCTAAAGCTCTCATCTTTTTTAGTTTTCTGTGTGTGAAGAACTGTTGGGTTTATACGTTGGGATTTTGGTAAAGTAGCTCGTGCCAGTCTTCTCTTTGTATTTGTAATTTTCAATTATATAAGGATTTCTTTTAATATATTTGTGGAAAAATGCCTTTTTTTAATATCGAGATGTTAGAGTCTCGTTTTTAATGAATTTTGGGAAGTGAAGAAGAGTGGGCCTTTGGGGCCGTACAGATATATATATATATATATATATATGACATTTTTTTATTACAATTTATGACATTTTTTTTTTATGGTGCAAAAAGAAAGCCTTTGGCGGATGATCCAACTAAATCACCAATCACTTCACTTTGGCTGAAACCTTTTCTTCTTCATCTCACTAACCACACGCCAGGAATCCTCCAATCTCCCTGCTCTAACGTAATAATCCAATAGAATCTCATAAGTTTCCTGATTCTTCCCAATCTTTTCATCGTCCATATTACCCAAAACCCTAACAGCAAGCTCCAACTGACATTTTGTCAAACACCCTTTGAGCAACACATTGCACAACTTCACCTTCAACCTCGTCTTCCTCCCATGGAGCGCGAACCGAGCCGCCTCTTGGAACAGAGCATCAGCTTCGAGCGTCCTGCCGAGGCCGGCGAAGGTTTCGATCGAACTAACGTAGGAAAGAGAATCGGGTCGTGACCCGAGAGAGTCCATCTCGGCGACCAGTGACATAGCTTCGTCGATTCGACCTCTTCGGCAACAATGGCGGATCCAGCGATTGAACAACGGTCCATTTATTTATATTTAATAGTTCATAATAATATTCAAAACACACACTTTCATTACGACTGCTCTCCACAATTCTATCATAAGATTTAGCTTTGCTCAAGACGGAAGGGAGAGAAGAAAAATAACACCGAAGGTGAATAACCGGAATTAACCGGTTTGGTACGGTTGCACGGTTCATGGGCCGGAAACAGATACAGTTTAAAAGCCCAATAAATAATGAGCTTCTACGACGTCGTTTTGGTTCTGCCTTCTGCCGCAGATAATTTAGAAATCTCGATGGTTCAGCAAAAAAGGCTCATTCTTCGGAAGAACAGAGAGAGAAGCGTTTAGGGTTTCTTCGGCTGGCAACAATGGCGGCGAGAGGTGCTTTGCTTCGATACCTTAGAGTGAACGTCACTCCTGCTCTGCAAAACCCTAGTATTAGTTCTGGGCAATGTGCACTTCCCTTCAATGCACTTTTTCGCCGTTTTTCCGATGACGTCAGGGGCTCTTTCCTCGACAAATCCGATGTCACAGATCGTGTAGTCTCTGTCGTCAAGAACTTCCAGAAAGTGGATCCGTCTAAGGTATTTCCTTTGTCTTTGATTGCTCTTTCTCTTTGGTTGGCTTCTGTGCGACCCGATAATCGATATGAAAATCCACTTCGATTCCATTTTCGTTTAGTTTTGTTATAAACTTGTGTTTAATGGTGAATCTCGTTTGCTCGTAGTTGTTTATATCTTGTAAGATGGGAAAGCTCGCGACAGGTATTTTTCTTACAGGATCTGTTTATTTGTGATCGTGTGTCGATTTGACGCAAGGAAAGATCGCCTGAAGTCATCTGGTGTTTTAATAATTGATGCTTATGCGAAACTTTTGAGTAACAGAGCAGACAATTTTGAGTAACTGGGCATTGATTTTTGGTGTTGCTCAGATTTGTTGAATATTTTGATAGCTTATCCCTTTGCTTGAGTTCACCATGCTAATAGAAATGTTAGGTTTCAATACGGTTTCTGTGACACTAATTGTATCAGCACCGTCTTTAGATGATGAGTTCGAAGCTTTTATGTTCGTCTTCTGCGTGTTCTTGTGTACGGAATTGAGTGGAGGAACTACCTGCAGAAGTAGAATATCTGTTCTCGTTCAGTTGTACTTCTTGTATGTATTGTAATATACGGGTTTCTCTATCTCGTGTTTCCGAGGCAGCAATATCCGACCATTTTATCGGGAAAGACGAGGAACTTTTGGATGGTCTCTGATGTAGTGCTCTTAGTATATAAACGTATGGCTCCGATTTTTCGTCGTGAGACCAAAGTTTTCAAGATGATTAAGGAGAAGTAGCTGTAGTATTAGGTCATGAGACCGACACTTTTGGTTTTTTTTTTCTCTTCAATCTCTCGTCGTCTTTTGAAGGTGACACTGGAAGCCAATTTCCAAAGTGATCTCGGGTTGGACAGTCTAGACACGGTGGAGGTCGTGATGGCATTGGAGGAGGAGTTTGGTTTCGAGATACCCGACAACGAAGCAGACAAGATCCAAAGCATCAAGCATGCCGTCGAATTCATAGCTTCTCACCCTCAAGCAAAGTAATGATGGCCGGAAACCTCGGGTTCTGACGTGACGTGTAAGTCTCCGATCTCCATGTACGCCTCTTTGTTATAAACCGATGGTCTTTAGCTGAATAAGGAAAACAAAAGAAAGAAGCCGCCGGACACATTTGAAGATTCAGACTGTGTTTTGCAACACAGTTTTTTGCTGTTTCTTTCTTTCTCGGTTAAATGTTTCCGGATTTGTGCTGGATTCTTTGAAAAGAGTGTATTGTTGTTCCAGACTTTTACCAACATTATGGGACGAAAGATACGTTAGAGAAATTTTCACCATGTTTTTGTGTGTGAGAAACGACTTAATTTTAAAATCGAAAATTGGACTAAAGATTAAATTAAAGGGTTAAATAGTAATACTGAACCAACATTAAGTGTAAGTAGTGGTAGAATTAATAATTTGAAATAAATATAGTTTTTATAAAATTTTAAAAAAATTTAAACAGCAAAACAATCGATATAAAATAAAAAATGGAATCAAAAATATATTTTAAGCTTCTTTTAATTCCAAAAATACCAGAGAAATCTTTTTAGTTCGGTATACCACTTACTTTTGTAAGCGCTATAAATAATATGTCAATTAATAAGTAAGAAAACTAGAAATAAATTATTATGAGAATATATATATATATATATATATATATTTTATGGATATATAATGAAAAAGAGAAATTAACTAAAAGGATACAAAAACGAAGGAAGCAAAAGGCAAAACAGAATAAGAAATTAGGTTACCAACACCATCGCCAAGACGCACTTGTCTGACTTCACTTATGTGGTGAAATGTAATGTCTTCAAGCACAACTTTGCGGTATACACTTGGGGACACACACACACACGCACATATATATATACACACACACTATATATATATAGGTACAGGGGGACTTTGGTATGTGTACAGTACATGTATGTCTATATATTCATATGTATGTATGTATATGAACACATGTCGTAGTTTAGAGGGTCGTCCTCAAAAACTGAACAACAAAATACAAAACAGCCAGAAGCAGCGCAATCTGATACGCATCACTCATGAAACTCTCGTCCCTTTGGAAAAACTGCACATTCACAACCATTTCTCGGTTAGCAACAAACCTTTGCCACCACTCACAGCCAAAACAAATTCAACAGAGTTTATATATATATATATGATATCGGATTCCATATTTTGAGCTTATGTAAGAGCAATATGCTCCATGGACGCTGATCAATCATTTTGCATTGTTGAAACAAAATCCAGTCATAGAAATGACTTTGTAGCCAGAAATAGATTTGTTGTTAATGCTTCTGGGGAAAACTTATGAAACTGCAATCCTACTCAATACATTTGCAAGAACGAAGGAAGAATCAGAAAACTGACCTTGGTTGGATCGGTCGGATCTGGATACGTCTCTGTGTCCTCTCTTCGAGTTGCAACATTAGTCGACAGGTTCTTGGTAAGGTCAACCAAGTCTTTTGCAGACTCCGTAGCAGCAAAAAGACGACGGGATGTCCAGAAATATGCTCGAGCAACAGGGGAGGATGCAGACAACTCCCACGATTCTTCATGTTCAATCACTTGACCACTGATCTGGTTAAGAGTGAATACAGATTCGATTTTGATTATGAGACCTCCCCCTATAGCAGCAAGAACCGATTTAGGTTTTCCTTTGGTCGTCCATCTAATACGCAAGATGCTAGTTGATAACATGACCATCTCTTGTACCGTCTGCGAAAGAAATCCAAAACATATTAAATTCAAGCATTGCCATTTTTCAAAATAATCAAGAGGAAGAGGAACAAAAATCACATTAACCAGATAATAAAACGGGTAAAAAGCATAATTCAAGCATTGCCATTTCTCACCACACTTGGACTCTCCAAAGCACTGGTTATCCATAGCGGTCTCTTATACTTCTCGCGTCCAGTAAAACTTCTAACTGAATCCTGCAATCACTACCAGCAATGATGCATTTACGGCCGGAACCAAAGAAAATCAAAACGTTGCAATGGAAACCATGAAGAACAGTTATCTAAACGTTTGGAGTAAACTAAATCATTGTAATCAGATTGAGATGCTTGAAACAATCTTGCATTCACCCATAATCATTTTGAACTCGTTTAACGCAAGTTGGCTGCTTTGTGGAAAACAAACAGAAATTGCAATAGTCTAAAACTGATAGGAATTCATCTAGAAGCAAAAGTAAATGGCTTCTCCTCCTCACTCCCATTTTTCTATAGCAATTCATTAGCATTATCTGCTCTGAACGGTCATTCTCAAGTAAAAACAAAACATTACTTGATGCATAAACAGCTTAAAGAATAAGAAAGTTCCTATAAGTTTTGTAAGTAGCCTGCTTGAAGCTGCCGGAATCAAGCCGATTAACATCCAGATATTGCCCACTTTGTGTCCAACTAAGGATAAATTGTGGCAGAACGCAGAATATTTTGAACGAATTTCTGACTTATCCAGCGATAAGGCTTATGCAATGTGTCTTTAAAACAAGAATATCATGGAGAATGTACCTTGTATTTTACGGAAACTGCATAGCATCCAAAGGCACGGTTTCCTTCTCTGAGTTCGAGGATGTCACGAACAAGTTGCCGGGCAGTGGATTCTACCAAAGGGCTACTAGTGCATTCAAATTCATTGCATAGTTCACCAAAATCCATGCTATCAACAAGCTTATCTGCTTCCGATTTATCGACGGCTTGATCAAGGGATACCTCACTCCTACTCGAATCATTAATAACTGAGAAAACGATTTGTTAAAACACAAATCTGCTCACACAGATGAAACGAATGGGATACTCAGTAATCTATCAAAGATCTACATCCCATTTCCATAGTACCAAAGGTAGAAAACGAGTTGACAATCGGTGAAGATAACGTAATGGGAACATCGAATGTCAAGCATCTTCAAAATTGACTCGAATCAGAAACCTCTCGTTATTCAAAACACAAATGGAATGATTTGAGGGAAGATCGAACAATAATACCACACGCCAAAATTTCGGAACAAATCAAAGGGATCCAAATACAAAATCTACAATCAGCGGATTGAATGCGAAGTGAAAAAGTACCTCGGGGGAGTCGGAGGGGCTTAGCGGAAACCAGATTGTGGCGGAGGAATCGCCGGAGAAAGCCTCCTGAGGCCGGAAAAGCAGGCGGGAAGGAAGCAGAAACGGAAGCAGCATTCATCGTTGCTTATTTCCATTGTGATTTTGAACGTGTGGCGATGGATTTTCAATTAAAGAATGCGGGTTTTTGAAATCTCTTCCTTGTTTCCAAGTTTGTGGTTTTTAAGTGGATTTTCTGGATAAGGTTTTTGTATTTTTGGTATTTTTTTTTTCAAATTGGGCCCACTATTGGGCCCTTAATAAGGCCCATCTCACATACCGGCCCATGGCATATTGGCCAGTGACTGCGTAATAAAATGAAATTTGATTTGTTAGTTTTGGGTATTCTAAAAATGCTCATTGTTAATAACCTTATGGTTATTATGTAAATTTTTTTAATAAAAACTATAAAGTAATTTATTTTAAAAAATATTGAGATAATTTTATAATTTTTAAATATGAAGAAAGCACTAAAATCGCGAAATATTTACACGAACTTTATTTATGAAAAATCTCAATCTATAGTATTTGAATCCAAATTATTTGGCAATCCCATTTGTGGATGTGTACTTTGCTCATTCCTCTCGTTCCCTTCACGAAGACCTTTTTTCCCCCCTTCACAAAGCCATTAATTTCTTCAACTTCATGAAGAACTCTTTTTTCTTAGCGAGCAAGGTGCTCGACGAAATGCCTGTGTGAAGAGTGTCTTTGGCCAAGAACAAGCCTTTGATTCCACAGATTTTCACAGGGAGGAGAAATGATGAAGTCCAAATTGGATTTGGTAAAATGGGTCAGATTCCGTACGGAATGATTGCAGAGATCAGTTCAAGATGCTCGCCAGATCTTCTCTTTGTCTTCTGCAGGTACAAGATTGAGTTTCTTGCTGCGCAAGAATACGCCAGTTGCTGTTTTCCCGCCCTTCTCTGTTCCCTTTATCACGTGCAACGCACGTGACAATCATCTTCTACATCTTCGCACCTCTCTCGCTCGCTCTCTACTGCATTCGGGAGAGGAGAGAAGATCCTCAAGAAAGTTTCTTCCTTTAGAAAACTCGAGAAACCCTAGAAATAGAATCGTCCGATTACAACATGGACGCTTCACCGCAAGAGGTCTACGACCGAGGAGAATCTCTCTTGACGAAAGGATCTGACCTCGAGGCCTTGGCTTTAGCTGAAGATTCGATTTTAGCCCTAGAAGGGAAGGAAAACACTGGATTGCTTTTTCTCCTACAAGGTAGAATCTTCTCTAGACTAGCTACCTGTTCCAAGAAACGTAATTTGGAGTGTGCCTACTGGGTTGGTGCCATTGAATCCTTCACCTTGGCCGATATTCTTTTACCGGATGCTTTGGTAGTAGCTCAATGCTTTGCACGTGCATTGTTTCATTTGGGCGAGAATCTTTCCTCGAAAAAGTATTACGGTAAAGCTGCGTGGATAGCAAAAGTGAGTTTAACTGGGCATAACCTAATCAGTTCGGGAGACCAAGAAGAAACCGAAGCTCAAAGAAAAGACCTGGAGAGACTTATGAAAAATGCACAATCAAGGATGGATTCTGCTGCTGCAGGGACTCTAGGAGGTGATTTGGGTGATCAGCTTGAAGAAAGTGAGCCAAAATGTGGGGTAAACAGTGAGGAGGAGGAAGAAATAGAGACAAGAAACAAGGCCTTGGCCGATACAGTGAGGCCCTATTGGGCAGGTTTGAGCGCTGAAAGAAAAAAGGCAGTAATGAAAATAAACATCAATGAGTTTAAGAGCTTTGTCGAGGAGTTATATGGCAGAGAGGGGAGAGAGGCTCTGGAGAGGGCCTTTAAATTTGCTCAGGAATGTAGAAGATGGAAGCTCTGGAATTGTCGTTCCTGTTCAAAGGAATTCCTTAGACCTGCAGAACTCAAGAAGCACCTTGAGCAAGATCATGAGTTAAAATTTATACCCCCTCCAAATTGTAATGTGCCCCAGAAACTTGTGGCTGTCAAAGTAGATACTGTTTGGGCTGATAAGATAAATGTCAGAGAATGGAAACCGGTGGATACAGTGGCTTCTGTAAGAATGATCAGTGATAACCTCGCAGATGTGAAAGAGTTTGTTTACAGAGATGGATGGTCCAAAGATTGGCCCTCAGTTGATGATGAAGTTCGTAGGAATCTACTCGAGGGAATTCAGAAGATCCTTCAGTTGCTCGTTGAACTTCAGATTCTCTCTAGTAGTCTTCGGGAGTGGTTAGTGAGCTACGTAACTGAGCATCTAAGAGTTCCCCAAAGTTTTGTTGAAGAATGTGGTTTGGGCAGTACACCTCAATGCATCTGTTTCTTAGGATGTCATGAACTCGATGAAGTCTTCCGCTATTTAGGACGCTTCCGCTCCCGACCTGTTGATGGTACAGATCTAATCGCCCAAGCAGTAAATGATGTCAAAGAAGTGGACAACTTTTCGGGTCGCTCTCGGGTTAAAGAAAGAATAAACTTTGATGATAAATTTTCATGCTTGCTTCTGGATAAAAGACTACTGACAGGAAAGATCAAAACTTTCGATGATGAAGGGATGGTAGGTGTTGTCGATTCCAGTACTGATCCTTACACTGGCGTTTCACCTCAGGGCGATGAGATTGTACACTGGTTATGTGACTGCCCTCTGCAGGATTACTGTTACGACTTCCGCAGACCGATAAGGGAAAACAATCTTCAAATCTGGTTGGCTATTTGCAGAGCCATTTCCTTCCAGCGTGTTACCTTGGCAAAAAAGTATCAGAAGAAATCCCTGCTCCGACTATATGAAGCAGGTCTAGGAATGGCCGAGAAGTTATTCATCAACGAAGACGAAAGGAGAAGAAATATTCCGGAGGATCAACGGAAAACTTATGCGTCAATTCTTTGCGATAAATGCAAGGAAATTGGAGATGAGGCAACTTCTTCTACGGAGGACAGTTTTCTATCTGTGGTATTAGATATTCTTGAACAATCAAGCCGGCCAACATTAAAATTCATAGCTGACATTATAAACCGAATCTCCAGGCATCCAAATGTGGAGGACAGAGATGTGTTGAAGTCCATATCTGCGTTACAGAAAGCAGTCGTTGAAGAGGTACGTCTTCTTAGCAAGTTTTTATATATAATTAGGTGGGAAAATTCCATAAAAAATACTCAAATTTATCGAAATATGCCACATAAATATCTCAATTTCCAAATTGCTAAATAAATACTTTAGATACCAAATCGATGGCGTCGTTAATTGATAACAGCGTCAATTTATACCAAATTGGTATTTATTTGACACAAATTGACCAAATTGGGGTATTTATTTAGAAAATTGTAAACTGAGGTATTTGTATGATATATTTGGACAAGTTAAGGTATTTTTATGAAAATTTCCATACTTAGTAACAGAAGATCCCTAAGTATTTGGTAGCTTTGCAGATTCCATTGTTGGATTCAAAGATTTTGCTGGTGGTTGTTTCAAAGAGGAAATTGCTAGATGGCCTCATCGAGCTCTCTGCTTTTGACTACCGCTTCGACGTCATTCCACTCGTGAAGTTTTTTTTGCATGTATGTGTTGAAACCTTCCATGTATTACCATTCATGAATTCAACTTTTTGGCTTCTATGATATTTGATGTCTTTTCTTATAGAAAGTGTTAAAGGAAACCATATCAGCTAAAGCGGCTGCCGATCTTTTAAGAGAGATAGATGAAGAGAATAAGAAGCAGTCTTTGTTGATTGAGAGGAAAACTAAGAGTAGCAAACGTTCCCGAAAGGAAAAAGAGGATAAGAAGGTTCGTGATTCTTTCACCGCTAATTTCAATCTTCTTGGGTTTTCCCAGATTCAAATCGTGTGGTCGAATTGTTTCAGGGATCTTCTACCCGAATTTCTAGTCCACTGTATCAGATTGTGGAACCGTAAGTAGTGCCATTTGGTCAGCCATTACTTTCTTATTGATATTCTCCAAACATTATCTTAATTGTCCCTCCACGTTCTTATGTATGTCCAGAGAAGCTTCTGTTATACCTGAACCCGATACTGCATCTACTTTGGTAAAAATGGAGGAAGACAAACATGATGAGCCTGCAAGCCTTGGAGATGAGCAAACAAGTGAACGTGAGCCATTCAGGGTTTCAGAGAATCAAAAGGAAACTACCACAGGTCAGCCCACTAATTCTTCACCGTCTCAATATACATAATCCTGATGCATTCATTTTTGTATCACTCTCCAGAAGATATGCTAACGGAGCTTCGGGATGAATCGTTCGAGAATAGAGAAATATCGGACCTAAAAAGTGATTTCCAGACTAAGGATGAAGAGTTATCTACTCAACTTGTGTCTGCACCATTGGAAGAAGCTATGAGATATGTTCCAGTTCTCGACATGATGCTGAAGGTACCAACATTCGTCTTTTAGTTGATATACATATGTATGTATTTGTTAAAAGCATGAGCTTTATGTACTGCAGGCCCTCTTGCACATTAAGGTTTTCAGAGAGGAAATGCAGCGCTGTAAGCAACCAGTTCACAACCATAACCATCTAGAGAAACAACGTGTTCTCTGTGCGCTGCAAAACATATTTTCATCCTTTGTGACAGAACAGATGAATGACGAGAACTTGTATCGTTTCCTGCTGTCGACAGTTCTATGGTTTGTGCTAATCATAGCATATATACTATGGTATTGATAAACATGGTATAGTTTTCTGATTCTCTATCTTTCAACCACTCTTCAGGAAACTGATGCTGCCGAGCTACTGATGTCTGTACTCGAGTTTCTGCACTACTGGAAAAGCCCATCACATGGAGAAAGCCTCGCTACTTCCCTTTTTACGCAGAAGGAATTCGAAAGGATGAGTTGCAACAGATGCAGAAAGGAGACGAATTATAAAGAGCAACATTCTTATGGGCTTAAGATATGTGCTGAGTCAATCAGGGAGTTCAAGGCAAGCGTCTTTTCTTTACCACCCTTGTTCATCGAAAGGAATGTTTCACTCTCTGAATGATATTTTCTAGAAGGGTTTATTGTCTGAATTGCTTGCAGTCTGCATTTGGGTATATGAAGTTTGAGGATATCCTCAAGGCCATCCGGATGAACTTCCAGATGTACTGTGACACGAAAACGGGAGGATGTGGAAAACGAAACTATGTTTGTCATGATATAACAAAATGT